CATACCAGCTATACTTTGGTTTTATCTTGTAACAACGTAGCTACTCTGGCTCATCTGCAGTTTGCATGGATTTTAAGCCGCACGCCGACATTGGAACAATCAGTTTTAGAAGGACTCATACAAAAATTCAAGGATAATGGTGTGCCAGTTTCCGACTTCAAACCGACCTTGCAAAACTGTACAGATAATACGCTTTACTTTGGATAATATTTTCTTTGGGGGGAAATAGCTAATGTGACCCATCATTCTGATATAGCTTCTTAGAATCCAAAGTTCAAACTAAGACAATATTCTTCATTTTATTGACCCATTCTTTATGCCACACATTTTGCTATGCATTTTTTCTTCATTCTATATTGAATTGTATTGATTAGCTTGTAAATAAACTTATATATCATTAGTCCGCTATTAATGTTCTTAACACATTGTCCTTGCTTGAGAGCAGTGGCGTCAATGTGAATCATTTTAGTAGAGGCCACAGAATTAGCAAAGGTCGGAGGGGGTCAAGAGCTCTCAATGGTAACAAATTTGGAACTGGGAGGGGAGAGGAGGGGGCTGCCTTATATTTTGCGAGGTGGGGCTTGCACCACCCTCATCCCCACCCCCCTTTCGTAGAAACGCCACTGCTTGTGAGACAGGGAACAATCACACATCCACATGCACTCAGTTGATTGCATCATTTAAGCAATATAACAATAAAAAAAAAGTTCTTCCTAGGTTATCTTAAGCCATTTATAGTTAGAATATCTAAATTAGTTTTGTTATCATATCACAAGTTGATCAACTAGAAGACAGATTTTATCAGCATCTCAATAGATAACAAATATATCACATCAATTTGAATTTGAAACATATCTTAAAGATGGAGAGGATTTTAACTGCCGTGTTATTATGTATTGGAGTTGCTGTCTATGCTCAAGTTCCAGGATTAGGACCCTGTTTTGATGCCAAACCACAAAGTACTTTAAATGTGTCACAGGTAACTTTGTGTTTGCATTAAAAGGGAGAAGGTATAGTATGGGATATTTTGAAATATCAGTATCATTATGGTAACAAGGCTGAGTTATAACTGAATGTTTTGACGAAATTAAATTTAGAACGACGTGGGAAAAACGTCAAAACTATGCATTAAAGTTTAACCAGTGATTGTTGTTCCATAAGGCTGTGTCTATAATATCTTTTGACGTTAATGTTAAAACAAAGGATCAACTTTTGCTCACTGTGATCGTAACATTATTGATATTAAACTATGGTGGGTCCAAAATTCAGCATCACCTTGCAAACGCCAATCCACCGGACTGAGCTATGCCGCTGTCAAGAACTCTTCTCAGTGCAGAGTGGCCTGGAAAGAACCGCCGTTGTAAGTAAATGTAAAAATTGTCCTGAATTTTAATTAATAGTCTTTTTCCTTTTAGTATTTAGGACATTGGTATGAAATAACGAAATTACCAAGTTTCTTCGAAATAGAGCAAGTTTGTTTAACTGCCAACTATTCTGTAAAAGAAGATGGTCACATTAAAGTTTTCAACCAGGGAAAAGTGTAAGTACGGAATCTATTTTGGTGAAAAAATTTGGCAATTTCTCCCATGCACATATAACATTACATGGATAGTAAAAAGGATTTATAAACGTTTTATATGCACTGGGCACTAGGATAGCATCGATTTGCACCATTCCAGTTTTCAGAAAGATGTTAAAAAATCAAGCAGCTTTTAGGAAAGTTACGACATAATTATATGTTAAGAACCATAGACGTCCGACTGAAAATTGAATATAATACGATATGATGCCCATGATACACTTAAACAATTTAGAGAAACCTCTTTAAAATTCTTTTAAAATTCTCCTTTAATTATATCTAACGCATGCGACAGCGATGGGTGAGATCCGGTAGTAAAACGTCGATACATTACCTTCTATTTTATTTTTGCGCAGGGATAGATATGCCTTTCATTTCTACATTCTATCTTGTTTTATTCTAGCAATGGAAAAAATGTTTCGTCAACTGGTGATGCCTATGTTCCAGACCCATCCGAACCCTCGAAGTTAATAGTAAAGTTCCCACAAGGTTCGTAGATTATTGAACCTTGACAGTTGACAGTTTTACACAATATGATTTGTGTCGTATATGAACGGTGAACGGGATGTCTCTGTTGTACGGTGGTTCGTATACGACATCATTTATTTATTTTAATTTTGAATTAAAAAAATGGAATATAATTATAAACATAATATTTGATTAAAAACTTGAAGTAAATGATGTCGTATACGAACCACCATACTGTTGCAGCAAAACAATAATAGCACCTAAGAAAGGGATGCCCAGTTAGCAAACATAGGATCATAGCGGCACCATGTAAGATCTTTATATGTCATCTTCCCACATCATTCATCTGAAAGATCATTCAAAGCCGAGAGGTTTGACCAAGGACAAAGACAACTGCTATCTGTTGTCGGATTGTATCAAAGCTGACTCACAGCTTTAGGCTGAGTTGTTAAAATTCTTTAGATGTTCTTTTTCAGGAGCCCCTGCTCCATACTGGGTTTTAGAAACTGATTATACCACCTATTCTATGATACTCTCCTGTACTAATTTAACAACACTAGCCCATGTCCAGTTTGCCTGGGTTTTGAGCAGAACTCCAACATTAGAGAAAACAGTTTTAGATAGCATCCTACAGAAATTTCAGAAAAATGGTGTCCCGATTTCTGATTTCCATCCAACATTACAGAACTGCACAGACAATAAACTTTATTTTAAAAAAGGTTCGCGATAATGGTGAACCAATGTGTCATTTTCACCAGATATTGTAAAACGGTAAAGACGGTATAACTTTATGGAACAAATTATCAGATAAAAGCGCACCCTACTTATTATTTCATCCAATATTACTTGTTTGATAATTCAATATGTGCTACTTTTGATCTTACTTTGAATAAAATGAAAAAAATAATGGTGTCGTAATTTCTGTTTACAATTTAACATAACAGGCCTACAATTTTATACAGATACATTGTAAATGAACACACTGTGGTGTTCTTCTTAGTCAGTCAACTCGAGCCAAATAGGATAGAAATGTCTTCATAATTTCGTGTGTTCGAACGAAATGGTTGCAACGTCATGTTTTCTTGTCGGTCCTTCGGAGACCCATATTTGCATACTTATTACAGTCAGCTTTTCATGACGTCATTCCAATTGTCATAGGTCGTAACCATTCTCGGCATAATCTTCAACTAATAGGCAGCTTTTCCTGGTCTTTTGTGGTTGTATAGATTGGTCGGAAAGGCCCCAGAAGGTAAGACCGATATCATATTTATTTTTCACAGATCACCGATTTTTTTCAAAGGAGAAGAAAAGCACCTGGTAAAAGGAAACATGGTAAAAATATGTAATAGAGTTGAACGTGTTGAAGAGACGATGTTTAACGACAGATATTTTATAAGCAATGAATTACCAAGTTAAAAGTTAAACAGTTCTAGTAACTAATAGTTTAAGTCACTGCATTGTGTCACCAGTCTAATCTAATCCCTGGGGTGGAAGTAGAACACTCATCAACTTTAAGCAGCTTATATCAGAATAATACGCTTAGGGTATCGAGGCATGTTTAGAAAATTCTTCTTCTATTTCAGATTATTGAATAATGTGTTCAACGATTATAGATGAAGTGCAGGACAAATTAGAAGAAGCTACAGCTCAGCTTAATTCTCACGTTCTTATGGCTGCATCATACATAGTCGATGAAATACCATTCACCTTTCATACACTTGAGACGTTTGAACTCCTTCTGGATGTGTATGATCTAATCAAATCAGCAAAGATACAAGTGGGAGAGTTGCAATTGTTGGAGAGCAAACCTTGTTCATATGTGGATGGTTCGTCTAAATCACCAAAGACGCAACGCAAAAAATTGGTGGAAGGCTGTTCACAAACGGACAATTCCACATTCTTCAAAGAGTTTCAAAAAAACAGAATGATAGATGCTCAATTCCAAACAGAAACAGGCAAAGGAGGGATCTCGACTTCCGGTATCGATGTAGATCTTACCACTAAAAGGCCAAAAAGTAGAAATAAGCCACAGCTCTCCAAAGAGACGGCTACCCAAGATTGTCTTTTTGAGGAGGGTTCAGATTCTGATGATAGATGTTGCTGTTCATACAATTTCTGCAAAATATTTCGTCGACCGACCGAAAACAGTCCTTCCAAGAAATATGCAATTTCGGAAGATCCATCTAAACGCATTGAGGTCGACAATTCTCGTCTACAAGCAGAAGAAAACAGGCTCTTGGTCGAAGCCATAAATAAAACTAGAAAGCAAACAGCACCATTGGCCAACCCTTGCAATCCAAGCTCCAAACAAGGAAGAACTAACGGCATTCAGAACCTTGTCCAAAATGGCTACATCAACCCTTTTGATTTAGATGAGTCTAAAGATGCTACTACTATCTCAACACAATTAAATCAACAAACTCACAAGGCTATGAACACGGACTTGATTGAGCACCCACTTGATTCTAAGCAACATACTGCAGAGTCGTTGGAACCCGAAGCTACAACTACCAAACTGCCTTCGAAGTCTTCACTCAAATCAAGACGTGCCCCGGATCCATCGCAATCTGAAAACAAACAAGAGGCAAATGAACCAACATCAGAGCTTTTAAACTCGGATACTAAAAGCACCGGCAGTAACGTTGAATATCCAGATGATTTGGACCCTTTTCAAGACGATGCGAAACTTTCAGTTTAGATAAATAGTTCTAGAGTTGATTCGTTTTCATTAAAGGAATACTACTTGTTGGTTGGACAAAACATTTATAATTTAAAGTCTCAAACTTGGTCAATAAGACTATATAACATTCATCAGTTGGGTTTACCTGGTGTCGTGAGTATAGAATAGAATCACTGTACAATACGATATATCCATGAAACTAAGTTATCTAGCTATGTTTCACAATTGCTTAAATTAATGGATTATTACTTAGTTTTATAGACTTATAGATATTGCAGTATAGTTTTGACACCAGGTAAGTCCGCTGAAAGACAAAGACTCATATTGGCCAAGTTTAAAATTTTCAAACTTTTGTTCATCCTAAGAGGCAGTATAATTTTGAATAAAACCAATTCGATTGTCTGAATAAGATATAATTAATCCAAATCACATAAAATGTAGAAATGACCCGCTTAACTTTTGATAAAATAGAACTGATTCATTGTATTTTGATGAAATAAAAGATAGAAAGTTGTTTTATTTTATTTTGGAACAGAACAAATCCCTGTTTATGTTGGTAAAATTGTTTATTTTTTTAAAGTACCTTTCTCTTTTGGCTCATGAGAGGTTTGGTTAGCAAAATGAGAACATGTCACGAAATTCTACATTGGGATAAATAAGTACTAACTGCACAACGAAACCCGGAATCCAAACGCGGCGAACATTGATAAGCTTATAAACTTTTTATATGAGGAAGTATATCAACCATAATTGAATTAGTATTTCATAATGAAAAGTGGTATTAGGTGACTATAAATATATGAGGGAAGGAAAACCATCTGGTACTTTTACGTATGAACATTTACATTTTGTTCATATTATTTATATCATGCCTTCAAAACGCACTTACCTATACTTATAGGGTCAGTGATGACCACTAGAATTTTATCTTTAAAAACACATGTCAAAACATCCAAATTATATAAATATTGACAATAAAAAGGTCAAATTATTAGAACTATTATCAGAAATCGTGTGGAATCGTTGAGATCAGGATGGAAGGAATACTAGTGATACTCTCTGTTTGTTTTGTTTTATCTGCTGCCCAAATACCAGGGTTAGGACCATGTCCAAAAACACAGCCACAGAAACATTTAGATCTTACTAAGGTACGTTACCGTCTCGGCTAGATGATTCAGTAGTCATACATAGGCCACCCTGTATAAGTAATGCTGTCCTGTCTAGAATAATCTGATCAGTTACAATTGATTATTATGACAGATCAGTGCTGTGAGGGAGTCAAGTAGGAGCCTCAGCATTATCAAGGGGAAACGTAAGGAGGGGGGGGGGGGGGGGGGTTGGTTGTTACAGGCAAATATGTTAAATAAAAAGAAATTGAAGGTGGAAGGGGGCCATGTAAGGCTACCTAAGAGTTTGGTAAACGTGTCGAACATAAATTATTTTTCTTAAGCTACTTTCTTGTTATTGTGGTACAAACCCTAAAAATTATAAGATCTATTTGTCACTGTTTGATTTTTTCCAGTATTTAGGTAAATGGTATGAACTGTACAAACTACCTAATTTATTTGAAAACAAACAAGAATGTGTAACAGCGAATTATTCTATTAAAGCTGATGGTCATATCAAAGTTTTAAACAGTGGTGTAACGTAAGTAACTTCCAGCCCATAGTTTTCCATTCGAATTCTTTTAGATAATACAGTCCCGTGCCAGATTTGATTGTTCGGGAGGGCAAGTAATATATCTGGAGGGGCAACAGTGCATGGTATTTAGTTGCAGATTTGGAATTGGTCGGATGTCAGAATGCTCTTTGAGAATGACCCCCCCCCCCCCCCCCACTCCTCTTGTCCCCCTATAGCTATTGACTACCAGATACCATAGCATTGAAAATCAACATCAACGTCTGTGTTAGACGTATAAACATGGCATTCCTAAGATTTCTACTCTTCTTTTCTAGAGATGGTAAAACTGTGTTTGCTGTTGGAGATGCCTATAGAAAAGATGACAGCAAAGAAGCTCAACTATCTGTAAAATTCACTGGTGGTAAGTCTATGTAAAAGTTTTCGAAAATGATTCATACGGTTGTTTGGTAGAAGACAAGTTGACGCCCTCTTCCAGCTAAAGCTGAATCTGGATCGATCAGCTGGTTCGATACTGTTGGTTTGGTAGTTGAGAAATCTCAGATCTATTCTGGTATAAAGACATAATAAAGATACGATAAAGTGGTCTTATAAGCCGGTTGACCAACTGGTGAAGCTTAAATCCCATACAAAACTCCGTATGTTTTTTTTAGGTGAAATAACACTCGCCATGTAGTTTCGTATGACTTAAATCCAAGTACCCATAAATCGTACCTTGTTACCTATCAGGTTACTGTTGTATATTTTAATCTTTTATCTTTCAGCCGCACCGTATGCTCCTTATTGGGTTTTAGATACTGACTATACCAGCTATTCCTTAGTATTCTCTTGTGAACAACTCGGTAAGTTGGCTCATGCCAAATTTGTCTGGATTTTAAGCAGAACTCCTACCATTGATCCTGCAGTAAAAGACAAACTATTCAAAAGATTGGAAAAAGATGGAATCGGTTCCAGTGGATTGAAAACTACTGGAAGATCTGGATGTAAATAAAGTCTTTGTTAATAAATAATCTTAATAGATCCGTTGTGTAGATTGTGCTTACTCTTTTAGAAACACCTGGTGGTACTAGTACTATGCAACTTTTACTCTCGATTTTGTCTTTCTTGTACGGATTTTCTTGTGGTGTATCTTTTGCTTGTTGAAACCATAAAAAGTGTGCTGGACAGCATTAAAATAACTAGAAACAAAACAAAATGTCTCGCCTACTTAAATTGGAACACTTAGATTGGAATCATCTTAAGTTTTCGTGAATAATTCCCCATGATTCAACATGACGTTTCTATATTCAGCACATTCATTCAATACCCATAGGAATTTCAAAGAAACTCAGTGGTTAAGTATTCCAGATGTACACATACATCGGAACGGAATAGAACCTTCTGTTAAACCTAGCTTGTCATTGAAAAGTGTATAGGTGCATGCCCTGTGACCATACGTTTGATCATGACATCAAATCATTTAAACTCTGAAAGGGTCATCGATGCCCACTATAAAATTTATCTTTCAAAAACCAACAACACATGTTAAAAAATCCAAATTATATAAATATTGTCAATAAAAAGGTCGAATTATTAGAACTATTATCAGAAGTCGTGTGGAATCGTTGAGATCAGGATGGAAGGAATACTAGTGATACTCTCTGTTTGTTTTGTTTTATCTGCTGCCCAAATACCAGGGTTAGGACCATGTCCAAAAACACAGCCACAGAAACATTTAGATCTCGATCAAGTAAGATTTTAATTTTTTTAAATCTAATTATTGTGATCTGTTTAAAGAAAAATCAGAACTAGGTCATACAACCTTACGTACATAACGAGATAACCTAATTTTGTTTTATGGTTTTGTTATTTTCTAGTATTTAGCTGAATGGTTGAAACATATCCATTACTCAATTTATTTGATATTGCTTGTAATTTTAAATATTAAATATAATCAATTCACGTATTCTCGAAACGATCTTAGTTTTAGGATGTCCTAGGTTCTTATCTTCTAACATTGATTTTAGGATATCCTAACGCTAAGATCGTTTCGAGAATACGTGGCCAGCTATTTATTGCATTTTTCTTGTACATAGGCCTATAAATGGTTTGAAATTTTTGGACTACATACTTTATTCGTCACTGTTTGTATTTGGATGTATATGGATCAAAGTATAAATTAAACTAATGCATTTGTTATCATTTGTTATCATTTGTTATTATTTATTATCATTTGTTATTGTTTGTTATCGTTCAGTATTTAGGTAAATGGTTTGAAGTATATAAATTACCCAATTTATTTGAGAATAACCAAGAATGTAACACAGCAAATTACTCGAGAAAGGCAGATGGTCATATTAAAGTGTATAACAGTGGTAAAACGTAAGTACATGTATGCTTTTTTGAATCTCAACCAGAGCAGTCCTCCTTCCAACTTCGTTAATTATAAAAAGTTACCTTTATAAGGGCATTATTTTGTTGATTTTTTGTTTGTCGAAATTTTCATTGCCCAATTTTGTGAAAACTATACACCAAAAAAAAAATCCAACTGTTTACTTTTTTCAAAACTATTTAACTAGGTTTACGTAAACTCTATAAGTTCGTTATTATTTTTGGTAGGTGTAATAAAACTACTGTACGGATTTAAGCAAAATGTAATAAAAATAAAAAAGGACAATTACTGCATTAAGAGTTCTTGCGATTGAATGGCATTCAACTTTTTGGTAAAACTGTTTTCGCCGTTGGTGATGTTTACAGACCAGATGATAGTAAAGAGGGCCAACTCTCTGTTAGATTTACTGCAGGTAAGTATAGGTACCATGTCTAGAAGCATCTGTACAAGTCAAAGATTCAGTGCGACTGAACCTCTTTGATGAGATGCATTATTACTTTGAATTTTTGTGAATAAGATAAGGGGCAGTTATAATAAATACAGTATCTCATATTTATTGTGTACCCGAATGAAATTGCCTAGTAAGTTGTAACGCAATTGCCAATGTCCATATTGGGTTATGCTTCCAGATACTTTGTATGAGTCGCGGTGGCTCGTTAACCTGAAGGTCCAGGGTTCAATCCCGGTCTGATTTTTCAACCTAGTTTTCTCCTACCTGTTGTTGATGAAGACCCAGGTTGTGCTGTTAAAGATACCTCTACAGTTGGAAAATAACAAATATTGAGCTAATATAGCTGTCCTGGAAACATTTCCCTTGTTACACACTGCACGTTGCCCGTCTTCATTAGCTAATCAGGTGCAGAATATTAGGACGTAAACCTCAATTTCATTTTATTTCAGCTGCACCGTATGGACCTTATTGGGTTTTAGATACAGACTATACTAGCTATTCCTTGGTATTCTCTTGTGAACAACTCGGCAGCTTCGCTCATGCCAAATTTTTATGGATTCTAAGCAGAACTCCATCCATTGATCCTGCTGTAAAAGACAGATTATTCAAAAGACTTGAAAAAGATGGAATTGGTGCCAGTGGATTGAGAGCTACTAAGAGATCTGACTGCAGTTGAAATTTTGCACAATAAATACTTTTTGATATTATGTCTGATGTATTTGTTCCATTGCTTGAGATGACGAAGATTAGGCCAAGTATATTTGTAAAATTTCATGACAGTTTATTTAGATCAGATATAAATTTATGAAGAATGCCCTAAGCCCGGAATAGAATTCATATTTCATTAAAGATGTAGCCGATTAGTTTTAGATCTAAAATCAAATTCATGCCTACTAAGAATTCCATTTCGACATAATTTACTTCTTTGCAACCAGATTTTACACACAGAAGTTACCCATATTTTAATATTTATTTATAAACGTTAGTACAAGGGAAGGTGGGAAAAACAACTACGTGTTCCAAATCCACCAGACAGCCTTTGTCGCATTTTTGCATAGATTGAATCACGATCTTTTTCACTTGATCGAACACGTAAATTAACTGATGATATTTTTCATTTATTGTGGCAGCAACATCGGACTTTAATTTCACCATTTCCCTTTAATCATAACCTTGGACATTTTTTAACGTCTACCTGTGCACATTTTTACCTGGTCTTTAACCTTCACGTTTGCATAATCGTCTAATCTTTGAAAGGTCAACGGTCACAATTTTATTTTTACTACCAATATTTATCCACATGATTTAGTTCCTTTGGAATTTTATCTTCAAAACGTTTTTAACACGTGTTCAATAGTCTATATTATGTAAAGCTAATCTATAAAAAGGTTAAATTTTTTCAAACAATACCAGAATTCGTGTGGAATCGTTGAGATCAGGATGGAAGGAATACTAGTGATACTCTCTGTTTGTTTTGTTTTATCTGCTGCCCAAGTTCCAGGGTTAGGACCATGTCCAAAAACACAGCCACAGAAACATTTAGATCTCACAAAAGTAAGTTTGGAAATAAAATAAACAATTGACTTATTTCAAAATTGTATCGTTTCAACCAGAGCTAGCACAGTACGATTTTGGATCTGTGGGAGTAACTTGTATGTCGTCCTGAATGTAAAGATGGTATAGGTATCCCCATTGAGAGATAGTACTCTGTTGGTTTCATTGCACATGCGTATTGGCCATCTGGTGGCATATTGGTGGAGAGGGATAATAAAGGCGTAGCCCCTTCCCCAATCCTTTTCATAGTGTTCTCTATATATATATTTATGAATAAAATATTGTTTACAAAAAAATATTGGCCCTCTAGCAAGGATATGCTTGTCAGATTATTAAACCTAAAGCCACCTACGCCTTGTAAAAGCATGTTCTTGTTATTATATTTCATATACTAAATTGATTACTTATTGTATGCCTTCCTACTGTTAATACGTAGATTAATCAACTTATTTGTTTTTTTTTTGTTTTTTTTTACTTCTGAATATTTATTTGTCATTTGTATAACATTTATAAATTGTCAGTTATATTTTTGTAACTGTTTGTTATTTTCCAGTATTTAGGTAAATGGTATGAACTGTACAAACTACCTAATTTATTTGAAAACAAACAAGAATGTGTAACAGCGAATTATTCAATGAAAGCTGATGGTCATATCAAAGTTTTAAACAGTGGAATAGAGTAAGTATATAAATTTAAATTAGAGATTCCATGTAAATTCCATATTCAGTACAACTTGAAGAGTGGGGGCCCGTAAACTTAGGTTCATTACCTTCATTGCGGGGGTCCGTGGAATTAGTTCAACCAATCCCTGTGATGGTTGAACCACTGTCCATATAATTATAATATAGAGGAAAACATCAACTTTTTCTACACCAAACCATACCTTTAATATCGTTAAAGTGATACAGTGTGCCAAATGGGAATAATTATTGAAATAAATACGCATGACCAGATCATGAGTTGATCATGCATTGAATTCAAAATTGTGAAACATCGCCTTTGATAATCTGGGGTTTGACTTCATTACTTAACTCTATGAATTCCTATTTTATTTGAGTTGACGACTCAGAATCGAAGGAATCAGATACATGTAGTTTGGAAAATTAAGAATGTTTCTAATCTCAACTTGTAGCTTTATCCGGATATATGGTTAAATGCAAATACTGCACTAAAAATTACTCTTTCGTCACTTTAGACGATACCATTTTTTACTAGCATTCTGTAATTTTTCCAGAGAAGGTAAAACAGTATTTGCTGAAGGAGATGCTTACAGACCAGACAATAATAATGAATCTATATTATCTGTAAGATTTGCCGCAGGTACGTAAAGAATCTATATTATCTGTAAGATTTGCCGCAGGTACGTAAAGAATCTATATTATCTGTAAGATTTGCCGCAGGTACGTAAAGAATCTATATTATCTGTAAGATTTGCCGCAGGTACGTGTTATCAGTTCAGTTATATTCTATATGTCAAAACTTTGACATTATTTACACAGCCTGATTTGATCCCCAATTTCATCCTCGATTGTGTATTATTGTCATCATAGAAGAGTTTGGATGAAGAGCCGTTTAGAATTACTGTCCTTTGATTAAATAATATCATCGACATCCAATTGCTTAAACAATTTAAATGGGTAGTTAATTGACAAGCAAATATTTCTTCCTAACCGAATCGAATAATATCCGAACAAAAGCATGACAATAATTGTATATGGTAAACGAGAAGTACCATAAGGTGTCAGAATATATCTAATGAATCAACCAGCATTTGTAGGAGCAGGGCTAGGACAAACGGGGAGAGGGCTACGCATGGTTAATAACTATTGTTCATAATATTACATGTTTCGGATACATTGTATGTATTTTCAGGTACACCCTATGCTCCGTACTGGGTCTTAGATACTGACTATACTAGCTATTCCTTAGTATTCTCTTGTGAACAACTCGGCAGCTTCGCTCATGTTAAATTCTTATGGCTTCTTAGCAGAACTCCTACCATTGATCCTGCAGTAAAAAGCAGATTGTTCAAAAGACTTGAAAAGGATGGAATTGGTATTGTTGATGTGGCTCCAACTAACACGGCTTCTTGCCTGTAAATCTGGCTCTTGTCTGGTTGTACATATTCTGTAAATAAATTTGTTTAATGTTAACAAATCTTGTTATTTGTCTTGCTTGTACAGAATGGTATTTATTGGTAATGCCTTGTCAACATAAAACATAACAATACGATAAATATTGTATTAAAATTTGTAGATAATATAATCCCTGTTGCTTTCCCAATCGCTCACAGAATTGAACGGGGCATTGCAAATAAAGTGAAACAGTACAAAGCTATCGTGTCTAAATGTTTACTGATCTATCATATTTCAGATATCAATAGAACGGTTATTGTCTACCTGGTTTGCAAACACATAATACAAGTTCGTTATATAATATATATAATATACGCATCACTGAGCATAGTAGCAATTAAGCGATACTGTCCTTTAATTTCGGTTATTGTAGAAAGGTTTTCAAGACTTTTTATGTCACTATTATGTATTATGTATTATGGTCACTTCTTTGCCTTTTATTTGCACCATTTTACTTTCAAGTACGCGTGCATGAGCACAAAAACTTAAAGGATGCAATGTTTGATTTCGATCTGAGAGCATCCTAGCATGATGATAATTGGTATCGAAATTGAATGCAAATACCACCACTTCCGTTAGTAAGGTACTTCCCCGGTTCAACTTTAATGAACCATGGCGATCAAATAGAAATTTAAGAACGATATCACTTGATGACCCCCCATGGTGCTATAATTGAATAATGAAATAATACATGTCAAACTCCGATTGCCTCCCTTTGAAATCATCTTTGAGTTAAGATATCCTTGACTTTTTGTAACAATTTTTCATTCTAATTCCAAATGTCAAACATACAGGAAATCCATCTTTAATCAATTCATAAACGCCTTTTTTATTAAGTGACTTGTGAATCATAATCGTCTGTTGACTGCTTCATTAACTTTGATACTCGCCTTACTTCCGCTAGAAAAATGATTAAAAACCGAGAGTCAATAACATTATTTAGCTACAGAAAATTGGTCGGAAATGACCTACTTGAATACAATATAATACTCATGGACGCGTTTCGATTATGTTCGTGCTAATACTTCAATAAGAAATAAACCAAATGTTAATATCCAATTTTCATCGATCACGCTTATCATATCAACTTCCACCAATTTCATTTATTCAGTTTCCGGTGACAATATGGCCGCCTTGAATTGGCGTCTTTTGGATAGGTCACGAGGTTACCAGGTCAATTCATCCAATCATTTTACTGGATACAGTATGGTCATGTAGGTTGAACCTACGGCGAGTTAAATAACAGATAAGATGAGACAATTTAATAACGATGTCCAAGTAAACTTGTTAAGCGAATGAGCTTTCTATGTAATCTAATCACCATGATGCTAACCTTTGAAACGACCTCTTTCCGTTCTCGTAATTTTGTGTGTTCTTCCAATTCATTGTGATAGGTTTAAAAGGACATATTACTCATCTTTATGTTACTTGTCTTAGCTACGGATTCCTGTCTACCACCACACAATATGACAACATTGACGGCGCTCAGAGGCATTTATAAGGCGCGGGGCCGAGTATGAGCTACAGAATTGCCCAAGGGAAGCTCACCCACATTTATTTTAATGTAGGCTACATTGATAAGAAATTTGGAAGGGGTACCAAAGCCGGGCCATCCTTTGATCGACTGTAAGATTCTTGGTGCAATTTGATTTTAATATTCTGTTTACTGCTTTGATACTCGCCTTACTTCCGCCAGAAAAATGATTAAAAATCGTAAGTCAATAACATTGGTCGGAAATGACCCACCTAATGAATACAATATAATACTTGTCACTGATATTCTTGGTGCAAATTGAATTTGCAATGAATGCCAGCCACTAGCTGGCAGCATCTTGGTGATTCTGACTAGAATTTCGTGTAACTGAGTGCACCATAAAGGCTGGAAAATATCGGTGGCCGCAAGCCGCCATCAGTACCTCATGTTGCATGATTTGGATTATGGCGTCGATCTGAGCGTTCGAATTCTGCAATCAACCAGCCTGTCGCAGGCGCGATTCAGTCATTTCAGTCCGATGATATCAATAGCCAGTCGACCATAGCCATCCTTTAGTGGCCTAACATTCTGTAGTGATACTTCAAAAATTGTGGAAACTATCTTGTATATACTTCCTCATATGAATAGTTCATTAGTTGTTACCAATGTTTTGCAAATATGTTTTTTGGATTTCGGGTTTTGTTTTGCGTTTCAAGTCGTTAGTGGTTTATTATTGGATAAATTGTCGCAGCTCCGGAACAGAATTTGCTGCAATGAATGTCAACTTTAAATTGCGGCTTACATCTAACGGAATCCATTAACCATTATTACAAAAAAAAAGCAAAAAAAAAAAACCTTGTTATATAAAACATTTATTACAAAAATGTGTCATGTCATTCTCTAATAATGCCTCTTTACCATGAAAAATTACACCATGAAATTAATGAATAATGCTATATTTTTTTTATTTGAGAAATTACTTTCACTACGATAATATTGGCTGCAGGCAATTTTTTCAAGCTTTGATGCAAAGCTTATAATATTCTTGAATTACAATAACACTTCAACCCCCGAGGTTTGGGTTAATTCGATCAAATTATCACGTCAAGGTCGATTACAGGCCAACTTGACCCACGGGAGCGGACTTAAAACATGTTAAATAATGTTTATTCAACGATGGTAGGGGAGAGGAAAATTTTGACACTTCTGTGTCCCCTATATGTCCCCACCCACTACCTACAAAAACTATTTGCATATATCCTCACTTGCTTTCCTTCCAGTTTAGACAGTGGCGGCGCCAGCCTTCCGAGACTGGGGGTACAAATAGGGGGCAGACTGACTCAATAGGGGGACAACTGCTGAGACTGAATTCAAATTTTGGATACTCTGTGGTGGTGTAATAGTCGCAAGCCTCTCATAGAGCGTCTTAGACGATTCTCTCAAAAAATGAATTGATTTTGTGCATTCTGACACATATTTTGGAGAAAAAGGTAGACATTTAGATTTGTTGAAAATAAAGTGAGGGTACAATTTGGGGTGCAAACCACTTTTCTAGGGGGGCAAATGCCACCCCTGTATCCCCACTGAGTTTAGATAATAATGATACGCAAAGTGTAAGCATGCTTCTTATCCAAGGTCGGCCTGAGCAACTCGAGCAACTAGGTACTAATTCTCTAACCCCTCGAATCGTGTCAGTCAACCTATTGCTCACAGTAAAATTATAAAGGGAAATGTTCCTTATGCGACCGTTTTGCGCAAAGAATGATAATCGTATGTTCAACGCATGTTAAGATATCTACTACAACAGAACTGACTTTGTAAGTCATATTTGTATTAAACATAAAATCCTAATATAGCTTGTATTCAAACATCCTATATTCCTATAATATTGTATAAGTACTTCCTTTAGTACAATATCAACCTTTCTATGAAAAATATATGTATATTAAAAACATAATGTCTTTGATAACACTTCCACCAATTTGTAAGGCTTCCTTTTATAGTCAGATGACCTTAATTTGCACATCCGATACTGTATTTAGGTTATGCAAGAAATCTAAAAATTAGACCTTAAGGCCAACTTCATGATAACACTCAAGCACTCTGTTTAACATTGAGCTGTCTGTAAACATCCACACCAAATTTGGTCAGCATTAAGCTGCAATCACAATGGCGTTTATAGGAATCATTGGGTGAGAGAGCCATTTGGTTAATCCCATTATTTCACTTGACCTATTGTTCACGACCTCATGTGAAAGTTCATTAGCTGCTACAAGTATTTCCCCAAAATGTGGTACCTGGTTTATTGATTGCCTGATGACCGTGGTAAATCAATGACATGCATCAATGCATTGCTCGCAAAATCTGTTTTAGATGGGCTATGATCGTTTCTAATTTTTTTTTATTGCTTACATTAGTGGAAATGTTACCGTGGACAAATAGAAACATCACAATAACATGATTTGTGCGTTATATTTCTAACAATATTGTATCGTATCGAACATAACATATTTGATACCCAGTACAAGTACACTGTGAAAATATACAACTAAAGCATGCCTGGTAATAAACCAATACGATATCATTGGAGTATTTGGTACAAGGTTTGAAAGGAATTGTTTCTGAACACAAAAGACTTTCAACTTTTCACAAATTTAAGGAAGCGTTGCTGACAGATATGATCAAAAAAAAAACATTCGTGTGTGGAATTCGTCTAAAATAAAAGTCATAGAAATTCATATACTGTCAACATTTTGAAATTTAGAAACTAGTCCTGCTGACACTAATATGGAAGACCTACTAGGATCTACACAAACAGATAAAACAGTGTTAGTAATCAGAGCGATTGATAATTGTATTACACGGTTTTAGAAGGCATCATTTCTAGTAATACAAAAGTGGTACTGAAAACGTGGCGGCATAAAACTTTCAACTTTTGGAAAACTAAGAGAGTTAAGTTTTTTAGCCAAGGAATGATAGGTGATTGTTTTCAACGTGGTAAAAAATTTGCAGGATTAATCTGTGGCATCATCATGGTGTGTAGAGCAGGTCTTCTATGTTCACGACATTTACACGTTAAAATTTTCCAAAATGCTCGCCTAAAATTGGCATTACACAAGGCATAGCACAGTGGGTTGATAGTACTGTTTATATAACATAACCAATAGCCTGAAATATACAATTATATGAATAATATAGTATGATATAACATAGTATATAATGATATATAACATGGTATGATATGATATATAACATAGTATTATATGATATATAACATAGTATTATATGATATATAACATAGTATGATATGATATATAACATAGTATGATATGGTATATAACATGGTATGATATGATATATAACATAGTATTATATGATATATAACATAGTATTATATGATATATAATATAGTATTATATGATATATAACATAGTATGATATGATATATAACATAGTATTATATGATATGTAACATAGTATTATATGATATATAACATAGTATTATATGATATATAATATAGTATTATATGATATATAACATA